CCAGTGACCTGCACGGCCTATTTCGCAGACTGTCCACCAGACATCATCCCGATCCTCTACTCCATAGGAGCGAAACACAAGAAGACTGGCTACAGCCAGAAGGTAAAGGAGGGGAAGAGTACGGCCTTTGCTGTGCAGATTCATGTTGGGAGGATTTTCTTGTGTTACGTAATCCTCGCATACCGTATTTTCGGACCATAAGGCGCATTAAGCGAAACAAAACAGTCAAATAAGTCAAACTTTACTCAACTCATTCTTCTTGCTTCCTCCACTTCTGTACCATTGATTCATTAATGCTGAATTCTCTCACAGCCGCTCTATTCCCGTGTTGTTGCAGTATAAACCTGGTATTGTGGATGGATTATCTCAGTTGTTCTCCTGACTGAAGTTTGGTCCGTTTACAGCATCCTGCCATGCGATTGCATTTGTCTCTAACCATCAGGAACCCTCACGTTAACTTTTATCGAGTGGAAAGAAGTTAGCTTTCATCCTCCAGCTTCACTGTGTTTATGCTATGCTAACATAGCTGTGTAGCTAGCGATCACGTAGCACATCATTATATACCAGCTAGCCCAACTTCAGTAACCCTACAAACGTCACTGCTGTTTAGTTTTCTGTCTTCATTTATGTTGGAAGTGATAGCAGAGCTGTACATTTGAATTTTTCAGAAATCTCTCAGTCAGAACATGCTATATCATGTTTAGGTATCATGCTATATCATGTTTAGCTAACTAGCGAGCTAACTTCCTGCCAACTTCCTGCTAACTTCTAACTCTGTTAAATGTAATAAATTCTGTTTTCATGGATGCCTGGATGTTAAACTTAATTGTTACACCTGGTAAAACAGCAACACTGATCATTTTATTAAAGGTGAAAGAATTTAGACAGTTTTTAACTCTCAGTGATGCTGCAGTGTTTGTTTGACTTTGGGACCTGAAGCGGAGTTTAGGACCCAGATTCCTCCATGAGGCTCCTGACTACAGTAGCCATAATGCTCCAACAATCCATCATGCGGTACAGCTTTGTAGCTTAGCAAAGTCGCACTAAAACATTTTTGACAAATTTTAGCAGCACATAAAATCGGTTCGAGGTCAGTAAGCACAACCAGAATTCATACATAAGGTGCACTGATGATTTTTGAGAAAATTAAAGGATTTTAAGTGCGCCTTATAGTGCGGAAAATACAATGTGCCCGGGTGTTTAAAATAATCAGTGCTGCTGTGATTATTTTGTCAGGAGTGGCCAATCAGTGGAGGGACGTGGACATTAGGCTCCCACACTTATCCAGAGATCATCATCACGGGGTGAGTTAGAAATGCAGACAGGAATACTGATGACCCCTCTTTAACACCACCCGTCACATTTAAAAGGACAGTTGAGCCGTGTCTCACGCCACGGTGACAGAACCACAGACTGTGGGTTTTTCTACATTTATAGCGCTGCGTAGATTTGATTTCTATCTGTGCCAGCCCCAGTAGACAGCAAGCCCCCTTTGTCAGAGATGTTAACCTGCTCTGAAGCTTGCTCGCTGGGTGGCGTTTGCTTCTGGGTAACACTCACAGATATCAGTGGCAGTCCGGCCCTTTGAGGTCGACGTGGAGACGTTTCACTGCTGAAAGCACAGCGTGAAACACCTAAAAATGCTCAAGTTCTCATGAAGTAGGAACCCAGCTTCACTTTGTAGCTCTGTGAGCCACAAGACAGGTGAGCTGCAGATTCATGAACAGTGTGATGTTTTAAAAATGCAGCGATAAATTTACTGAGGTAATAATCATTAACACGACTAATTAGACTAAAAGTGAGTGGGAAGGTTGGAAGTTTTACTTGTTGTCATTAATTTCATACTAATTACATTTTTTTTCAGGCATGCTGATGGATCGATCAAGTTTTGGGACGCATCTGCAAGTAAGTCCTGTGCACCAAGCTTTCCTGCATTCTCATTGCAGCGATGCATTTGTTCCACAGCACAGTTAATCAATCACCTGGGTGATATCATTAATTGCTTAATGACATAATCTAAGAGTTCAGACTAATCTTACTCACCCACAGCTAACATACCTGCACACATATGGTTTAGCTTCAGATCAGCTGATCTCAGCGCTATGCCCCATCACATGATAGATCAGCTGAGAGCATTTCATACATCTATTTAGCAAACTTCATATGATATAAACCGATCAGACGTAACATCAGACATGGACCATGGAGCAATGGAAGAAGGCGGGTTGGTCTGATGAATCAGATAGGTGGATGGATTATTGTGCGTTGCTTACATGGGGAACCACAGGCGAGCCAACGGGGACAGTTGCTTTGAGCGATGCTCTGCTGGGAAACCTTGGGTCCTGCATCCATGTGGATGTTACTTTGAGACGTACCATCTATCCAAGCATTGCTGCACATCATTTACACCCATGCATGGAGAAGGTGCTCCCCGATGACTGTGGCCTCTCTCAGCAGGATAATGCACTGAAAACAGAAATGGTTGAGGAACTATTTGAGGAGCACAACAACCAGTTTGAGGAGTTGACTTGACCTCCAGATTCCCCAGATCTCAATCCAGTCGAGCATCTGTGGGACTTTGGTGCAGATACCACAGCACACCTTCAGGGTGTAGTGGAGTCCATGTCCTGACGGCTCAGGGTGAATGACACAATATTAGGCAGGTGCTGAAGATGTTGTGGCTTTTCGGTGTATATACATATTTATTTTAGTAGATGATTGTCAGATGTGCTGCCATTGAAGCCTGCTGTGTTCTGTGTGGTCGTCCCACCACACTGATCCAGACAGAAATGAGTCCAGGGGGAAATAACAGTCGTCTTTTGACTATTTTAGTCGTGACTCAGAGTATTTGACCTCAGTATGTTTGTAATAGCTCAACACGACACGTATGATCCCGGCCATCTTTGATCAGCACACGCTTCCAGGTTTACCGTGTGCACACATTTCTACTACTGCAGCTTTATTAAAGGTGCAGCATCTGTTTATGTGTTTTAAATGGAAAATAAATCAGAAGGCTGTGGTGCAAATCAGTCTCCTCTCAGCCAGACACATTACTGGTCTAATGCATTTGTACAGCTGTGACAATCGCAGCAGTACGGGGTGAAAATGCCTCGCCAAGTGGAGACGAGACATTTGTACAAAGTGCATGAAATTTAAAAGGTGAAGAATATGAAGATGTAACATGGCAAACTGCATAAAGCTATCAGGATATCACCACGTGCACATGGCCGTTTACTTCATGCTTTAACTGAGATGTCTCTGTGCAGTCACGCTGCAGATGTTGTACAAGATGAAGACCTCCAAAGTGTTCGAGAAGCCAAAGCCAGGCGAGGGCCGCGCCGCCGAGCTGGTGGAAGAAGACCCGTTTGCTATTCAGATGGTCAGCTGGTGCCCTCAGAGTCGCATGTTCTGCGTGGTCGGCATCTCAGCTCACATCATCCTCTATCGTTTCAGCAAATATGATGCCAACACTCAGATAGTGGTGAGTGCTTAAAGTGGTCAGGTGATGTACAGAGACTGAAGGTGAAGCCCAGTGTTGATGTGACACGTTCCCTGAGTCTCCTCTCATGTTTCAGTCTCTAGAGGTGCGTCTGCAGTGTGACTCGGACGACGTCATCTCTCCATCAGAGAATGAAAACAATCCCAGCTTCTCAGAGCCCGGCTCCCACTCACCCCAACCGCACCATCACCACCAACACCAACACCCAGCCAGCCCAGGCAGCAGGACACCAGAGGGCATCAAAGACAGCATCCCCTGCCTCAAGTAAGATATCTATAAACTACGAGATTTCTGTTTGAAGAACAGTCCTCCGTCTCTGCAGCACAGTAGACTTCAAGCACAATCAAGTCAAGAAAACCACTCTGGTGGTGCATGATGGTCTAATGACTTGCTGAGGCACGTTACAGTGCATGCCAGTGTTGTGTATTTATGCTCTGCCAGGTGTTTCAGGGTAAATTGGACCGTTACTCCTCATTCCAACATCATTCCTCATTAGCTGTTGATAAAAGCTGCCCTCTTTATCTGTTTCAGAGTGAAGGACCGGGCGGTTCGGGTTCCTCCTGGCTACCAGTCAGAGTTGGTCATCCAGCTCCTCTGGGTAGATGGTGAACCTCCACAGCAGATCACCAGCCTGGACATCAACTCAGCCTATGGCCTGTGAGTTTCAGAGGCATAACACTCTGTCCTGAGCAGCTCTGTGTCTGTCTATGAGTCTAAATTAGGAACATTTAGCAAACAGTAGGCTTGTATTATCCATTTTCATATGTTTGTTCGTCACCAATAAAAACAGCATCAGTGCACAATACAAGCATGGCTGTGAAGCGTGCAGGGAACCAAACCTGCACAGACTGAGGACATTTGACTCTCATTTTCTAAAAATAGCCAGATTATAAACAGCAACAGTGATGCAACAGGAGAAGAACATGCATGTGGCAGTAAGAGGGCTCAGCTGTACACAGATGTGTTTATAGTTGGCTCTTGTATATGCGCTTTGTGCAGTATTGAGTTGGTATTTGCAGTATTTGTACTGTATCATACTGTGAGGCTGGCGGGAGGATGTAAATATGATAATGGGCCATATGTAAGCTTTGTAATTTTGCTGTTACTGCCAGCAGTTAATGTAATGTGACCAAATTATTTAAATGTGTTCTGGAGCTTTCTTGACAAATGTAACACCTGCGAGCCGAGCTGAGAAAAACACCATATGTCCTGTGACCGTAGCCAGTGACGAGCAGCAACAAACACGAGCACATCGTCTTCTTCTAGCTGCTTTTGTTATTTTAAAGTAACTTACTGGATGTGGACTAATAATGATTATATGTTGTGCTGAAGTCAAACGGGAGCTGCATGACTTCCTGAGCTCGCAGGGTTTGAGACCGCTTGTCTGGCTTTGATGTGAATAGAAGCTTTATGGGCAGAAACCAATAACAGAGTTTTCTGAAAAGCTCTCTGCGGGTCAAGGCAGTAGTCGAATCTCTGCTCTGAAGCTTTTCATATCTTAAGTGAAATTGCAGTAATTGATTATCCGGCTTTTTGATGCCTTTCTCACATACTGAGCAGAGCATGCACACACACACAGACACAGTCCTCCTTTAGCCGCACTAATATAAAAACATTCCTGAGATTATTGATGAGAGCAGAATAACATTAGGATGTCAGTGAGACGTGCTCAGCACAGCAGCCTGCTTTCCTGCTGATGTCACAATAAGGACTCGGCTCTGTCTCCTCTGGGTGCAAGCTTAAAACCCAATCCACGTGTAGTTCCCAGAAACGTATCGTCCAGCTGCAGCTGCTGGGAATATGTTGTCCAGGCCAGATGTTTATAAGTTAATGAGGCTTTTTAACAGTGATTGTTCCAAATGGTTTCCACGGGGGGCTGAGCTCCCATTGGACATTTTTACTCCTTGTAGCTCGGGTCAGTGAAAGTGTGGTGTGCTCACAATATTGTAGCATATGCAGTGTTGGGAAAGTTACTTTTCAAATGTATTCCACGTAAACCTGTGACACAAAGATCACCAAACTGAGACGACCACAGACTGTTTTCCTTCATAGTGATGAAGGAAAACGCTGGGATGTAAAAGGGCATTTATTCCCTCAGGACCTGAAGCTCCATAATGCGCCCCTCCGACAGCCAAACCCATCTGTTCTCTGATTGGGTAGTTAAATTTGTGATTGACATGACATTGGCCAATCAGATGAAAGGAAGAAAAATAGAGTCAAAATTTGTACTTGTAACTTGAAACCTGAGTGCAGAGTTTCACACATATTTTTCCACACGCAAATCTGCTTTTACACATACAAAACTGATTTACAAGTGCAAAATATTTATGACCACAATTTGAGCCCATATGATGCATGGCAGGTGACGATCAGTCATGTGGGAATTCTGGGATAAGTATTAGAAACATGGAATAAAAGCAGACTGTTTAATTCATGCTTAATTTGACAGTGTTTTTCATGTTAGTTGGCACAACTCTAATGTGTGTGTGTGTGTGTGTGTGTGTGTGTGTGTGTGTGTGTGTGTGTGTGTGTGCTTGTTTCTTCCCTCCTGACGTTGTGTACGTGTCCAGCCTGGCGTTTGGGAATTGTAACGGCCTGGCGGTGGTGGACTACTTGCAAAAAACTGTCATATTATGTTTGTCGACACTGGATCTGTACGGAAGCACCGACCCCTACCAGCGCCTTACCCGTTCCCCCCGCAGGAACAGGCAGTCCACCTCAGGTAACACACACACACACACACACACACACACACACACACACACACACACACACACACACACACA